AAAAAGGGGTATTTTGGAAAGGGTATGGTTGAATTTGAAGTATTTTCAATAATTTCCCGTATAACACTCGAGTCTACTACCCATTTTAGCGAAAAAAAATAAAAAAACATATAATCAGATTAAACCCACTGCTTCTCCTAGTTTGTTTCTTTCGAGCTCTCTCATTTGACAGAGGAATGGCGGCGAGGAACGCATTGCTCAAGTACCTGAGGGTGAATGTTCATTCTGTGCCACTTCAAAACCCTGGAGCCGGCCTCGGTGGGGCGCTGTCGCGGCTCATCAGCAGCCGCCACTTATGTGCGGAGGTGAAGGGCTCTTTCCTTGACAAGTCTGAGGTCATGGATCGTGTCCTCAATTGCGTGAAAAATTTCCAGAAAGTCGATCCCTCTAAGGTAACACAATCGTTGTCAAATTCTTTTGTTTTTTTTCCCTACTTTGGATTCATATTACTAATTAATAGAGTGATAGTGGCTTGAAAGAATTAGGTTTTTTGGGAACATTAGGATTTATTGGTTCGAACAGTTGGTATTTGAATCTTGTGGGTTTGGAAATATATTGGTCAGCTTGCTGCAATTGATGCAATTATCATTATAGCCGAGGTAATGTACTGGTGTTTACAATTTGTTTAGGGTTTTTTCAGAAAATTAGGGTCAAAGAAGTGAAATACTATAAATTGTGTAGGTAAAGTAGTAACTGTGTTCATGTCCCTTATTGTATGGGGAATAGATGATTCCCTGGATATTGTGTACATCTGCCATTGCATTTGACTTTTACAATCAAAAGTTTCTCATCCCAAATGTTTTCCCATTTTAGTGAAGTAAAAACTGTGTTCGTGTCGAGGTCAAATTTATTAATCCTTTGGTTAAATTAACGTGGTTTTCCCTAAGCCATTTCCCTCATTCCATATAGTGATCTATATGTAGGGGTGAAAACTAATACGTGCCCATATAATTTTATGTTTTGCTAGTCCCACTGCATCTTGCAATGTTTAATAGAATTGAAGAGTATATAGCCCTAAGTTCCCTCTGAAAACTTGTGAAGATGTGGATGTGTTTATTATACTGGAGAATATCAATACAAGTTCCATAACCTTTTAGATAACTTTGAGATGCTGAAAGTTTCTCATCCCAAATGTTTTCCCACCCATTTACACTTCCTTCACTCTGGCAAAAAATTCAAGAAACCTTTATGAAGGT